CTCATTCCATGCTGTCCCACTGCATTTTCCATTGCTTCTTATTTCTCGTGCTTGTGGATTTTTCAGGAGACAACGTAGTGGGCACACCCTGGTCAGCAGTACGAAGTACAGGGCACCGTGTGGCAAGGGGCAGGGGTGGCAGGAGCCATGAAAAAGGCCAGGGATGGGACAAGCTGGGGCCTGGACACCCTCCCCTGGGATGGCACTGGCCACACTGTCCTTAGAGTAAGAGAAGGAGGAGAGACAGGAGAGCCAGACACAAAAAGCCAATGGACAGCAGAGCCCTATGGGCCCATAGTACCAGGAGCCAAGACAGCCCCACACTAGAGATGAGGGTTCGAGTCGAGACTCTGCCACCAGCCAGCTGACGACCTCAGGAAGATCAGATGGTCAGCATTCAGAGCCCCACATCCTAGCACAAAGGAGAAGCACACCACCTGCCCCTGCTTATCAAAGAAGGGTGTGGCAGGGCAGGGGACAGAAAGAGCATAATGATCCTTTAAAGCAACCCATATTCGCCATTCCACAAAGTATACATATATCAAAACATCACATACACCATCAATACATACAGTTTTTACTTGTCAATTAAAAAATAAAAATAAATAAGATGCAGCAGACATGGCAGTCAGAAGGTAAGCAGTGTCACAGGTCTCCGGAAGCTGCCCATTTTGCTTTCTTTCATGCCATTAACAAATAAGTAAATAAATAAAGCAACCCATGGACGCGAGGCAGGCATGACCACTACTGCATTGAGGCACCGCCTGCTCTCCTCCTGACTTCCAGAATCAGAGTTCAGCAAAGGCTCTTCTGGAATCTGTTTCATTAACCACCCAAGGCAACCACTTGCAGGTTGTGAGGGAGCAGGCTGATGCCATTTGCTCATAGAGCCCTTGCAGCAGATTCCACAGAGTCCAGGGCTCCCGGGAGAGCCAGGCTGGCCTGATTTCTACAGCATAACTCAAGGGGCAGGCGACACCTGAGGGGCAGGCAACACCACTAAGGCTCAGAGCCAACCGACTTCATGCTTGAAGAATTCTTAACTGCACAGCTTTCTTACTCAAAACTTCCCCATTCTTGTACTTATTCTCGCTCTGAGAATGGTGCAGCCAAATCGAAAAGCAAGCTGCCAGGGGAACAGGGCTGGGGGAGGGAGGACGCTGCTACTGACAGAACCTACAGACCCAGCTTGACAGAAATCACAGGTAAAAAGGGTGAAGGTATAACTGGGAACTAGGTCTATGACGCCGAGGCCCTAGAGACTAGGCTCCCTGCTTTCGCCCATGTCCCACACTCACAGCCTGGTTTGTACCAGAAGCAGCAGACTCCACACGTGCAGCCAAGAGGCACACTCATTTGACCTGCACTCCCAACCAGGGTTTTCACTTTTTTAAAACTAGCTGCCAATTTATTTCACATTAAACATTGGTTTCCAGCATCTCTTAAAAACGTGGAAGACCTGACTACACTGGGTCAACATTTGGACATGACAGCTCTGCGGGAGACTAGACCCTTCATCTGGGCACCCCTTCCCCAGGTGTCACTGACCTGGCCTGTTTCTCCTATATTTGTGTCAAGATTGGCTTCTTCAGGCATTTCAGTTTGTGATTCCTAATTTAGCTGGTTTTAAAACTAGCTGCCAATTTATTTCACATTAAACATTGGTTTCCAGCATCTCTTAAAAACATGGAAGACCTGACTACACTGGGTCAACATTTGGACATGACAGCTCTGCGGGAGACTAGACCCTTCATCTGGGCACCCCCTCCCCAGGTGTCACTGACCTGGCCTGTTTCTCCTATATTTGTGTCAAGATTGGCTTCTTCAGGCATTTCAGTTTGTGATTCCTAATTTAGCTGGAGCATTGTGAATGGATGCCCATTTTGAATTACTACAGGCCAGGGGCTGGGGGCCTGGTGATGGCCTACCAGCTCCTATAAACTTCTAGGACCCTGAATTGAAACACTGCTGACTACAACAGGCATCGTTGACCCAGACCCATGTGCCACTCCACTGACTAGTAGGCCTCCCACTCCACAGTCGGGAAATCGTGCCGCTCCTTTGTTAACCTTTCATCACTCTCAAGGTTTAAGACAAAGCAAACCCACCTTACATCTTTTCATCAGAGTTCCGATGAGATGACCATAAATGGGTATGGTTTTAAATCCCACACCAGAACTGATAAAAAAAATAAAATAAATGCAGCAAGCATGTGTTCTCTAAGGACAGGGCCACTCTTGGGCACCACCATGGAGCCCTTCATCCTCTACAAACCCCTGGGGCAGGGCATTAGACATTTATACCTTGGGGTAGAATTTAAGTTGGGGAGCTGCTTCTCTAAGGGTATTTGTCCTGTTCCTAGTTAAAAGTGGTTTAGCTATCAAGAGAAGAACAGGGAGGATGTCTTCCAGAGCCTGCGAGCAGTTATTCATTCCATATCAAGTTAGCCCTGCTGGAAATTAATTTTTAACGCCTAAATCAATGACTGTGTCAACTGGCATAGTGTGGAAAATTCCCACCAGTAAACATTTCTTAGCGTTGAGGCATATTTCCATCCCCTGTGAATTGCAACAGCATCACCTGACTGCCATCTAATACGTGTAATCACACTAGTGCCTTCTTATCTTACCTAAGACTCAGACTCTGACAAAATGCAACACGGATAGCAAATCTGATGGAGAAAAAAGGTTGGAAGAGTCTGAAACCCTGGGCAACCAGGAAGATGAAGGTGAAACAGCACAATAATCAGGAGATGAAGACCACGAGAGTGTAATAATAGTAATATTTGCTTGAGCTGGCTCTGTTTCTGAAAAAGATTGAATAGCATAAATAGTATATTCCTGGTATCTCAGTAACAGGGAGGAAAGACAGATATTAGAGCACAACTTCTTGACAAACCATGGCAATAAATGGCAGTTAAGATCCTGGTGGGTTAGAAAAGGGTTGGGTCTAATCTCAGTTTGAAAGGCAGCAGGGGGCCGGCCCTGTGGCTCACTCAGGAGAGTGCAGCGCTGGTAGCACCGAGGCCATGGGTTCGGATCCTATATAGGGATGGCTGGTGCACTCACTGGCTGAGC